TAGAGCCGCCTCCCGTGCCAAAGGCACCCCCGTTGGCGCTACAAAAGCACAGAAGTCTGAAAGCCTCTTCAGCCGAGGAACAGACGTCGCCCTCAAGGCCGTGAAGGCTGGCGAGACTCCGCTGCTCCCGCCCCCCCGACTCGGCCGCCGTTACCGTTACTGCCGCCGCTGCGGCTTCCCGAGCTGCCGCTGCTGCGGCCTTCCGTTGCTGCCGCCCTCGCTCCGGCCGCCTCTGCTGCCGCTGCGGCCTCTGCAGCAGCTGCCTCTTCTGCCGCCGCGGCCTCCGCTGCTGCCGCCTCCTCAGCCGCCGCAGCCTCCGCTGTTTCCGGCTCTTCCGCCGCCGCGCAGCCTCCTCCGCCGCCGCCACCACGGCCTCCGCTGGCAGCCGCCCCCGTCTGGGACGCCGCTGCCTCTTCTGCCGCTGAGGCCTTCCGCCGCCACCGCGCGGCCTTTTCAGCCTCCTCCGCCGCCTCCGCTGCAGCCGCTCCCACCGAGGACGCCAAGCGCCTCTTCTGCCGCTGCGGCCTCCGCCTCTTCTGCCGCCGTGCGGCCTCTGCCGCTGCCGCTTTCCGCCGCTGCCGCCTCTGCCGCCGCCGCGCAAGAAGGCTCCTCTGAAAACGGCTGCGTGTGAATGAAGCGGAAAAGTTTCCCCACCTCGGCAGTCTCGTGCCGACTCCATCCCTTGTTCTATGGAGCGCGAGTGAGCGGGGACGAAGCTGAGGCGCTGTAAAAGCTGAGGAGCTCCAGTAAGCCAAAGGAGGAAGGCAGGCTCCCAGTTTTCATTTTGGGTGACCAGGCTCCCAGTTTTCATTTTGAGTAACTAGGGGAGGTATAGAGGGGAGGGATGGGAGACCTGTGGAGGTGAGAAGCTGTCAGACGTGTTCCTTCTCCCTCTGCCTCCCTTTATTCCTATCTTGAGGGGACTTGAGGCTTCCCAAGCAGGCAATATGCTACTAATAATGGTCAGAGCTTGTTTGGAAAATCAGTGAAGGCCAGTTTATTATTATTAGCTAGGTGGGTAGGTTGGATGGTCACTACCCTAAGGAGTTGGTTTGTCACTACCCTAGGGTTGGTTTGTCACTACCCTAAGGGTAGGTTTGTCGCTACCCTGGGGGGCCGGGGGAGCACAAAGTGCCTGCTCCCCTTTTTTTCAGCCTTAGGCCTTGACCATCATAGTCGGCTCCCTAACTCAGCGGTCCCCACATACCCCTTCACGCAAGCCACAGCTAGACGTGCCATCTCTGCAGCGTTGGTTCCAGGCAGGCAGCTGTCAGTATTTGACCCACAGCCCTTGGGATGCGGGGACCCCTACTCCGCCACATGCTGGAGGTCACCTGGGCAGGGTTGCTTGCCACGCTTGTCAGGGTTTCCTTCCCAGGCCAGGTGCTCCTCCCTGCCCACTAGTTCAACTTCCTCTATTGTGCCATGGATCCCCAGAAGGCAGGGCCGCGCATGCACTGAGCTAGGGGAAAGGGGTGTTGTGTCCCTGACTAGATAAGTCTTCAACCTGGTCCGCATTCTGAGCGGGACCACCGACTGTTCCCATTGGTTGGTGCCATTTGACAGCAGACTATATAAGGAGCTGTCAAACGGCATCACCTGGGCTTTTGGGCTCCGGCTCGAGCCAGCTGGCTGCCAGCCCAGCTGGGCAGCCATGATAATCTGTTACTGCTTCAAATAAAGAAACGTTATTCTTCAGCTCCTGTGTCTGCCTGGTGTGTCCGTCCAACCAAACACAACAGTTTTCAAGCACAAAATGCATCATTATTCCACATGGACAATATTCCATTTGGCTGCATAATAGCCAACGGAAAGCAAAATTTAGGAAGTGTGAGGGTTTCTTTCCTCCTTTAGGCAATTTTCATATCAACCATAATTGAGACAAGACTGAAAGATTGTATCTATTCATACACGCTAAACAAATATTCAGCAGGCAAAACCATCACATTAATTCTAATATTTTCTCCTCCTCTTGGTCATTAGTGATTAGTGAAGTTATGGCAACCAGAATTTTAATGGAAAGTGGAAAGAAAATCATTTAGATGTCCAACAACTATATGAGAAAAGGGAGGGAGGGATGAAGGATGGGAGGGAGGGAAGGAAGTAGAGGTAGTACTCAGCGGGCCAGTTCTGGAGAACCGGTAGCAGAAATTTTGAGTAGTTCAGAGAACTGGCAAATACCACCTCTGACTGGCCCCGCCCCCATCTCCTCTCTGGCTCCCAGGTCCCAGCTGATTGGCTGGGTCTTCTTTTGTTGCCCTGCACAGGAGAACGGAGCTGGAAAGCAGGTTAGTAGGGTGGGGAGGGAATGGGGTTTTACAGTATCCTTCCCCCTGGAGTGGGGAGGGAATGGAGATTTTGCAGTATCCTTCCCCTGCCACACCCACCAAGCCACGGTCACAGAACCGGTAGTAAAAATATTTGAATCCCACCTCAGGGAAGGACTGGATTGGAAACAGAGGCAGAGAAGGAAGAAAGGGAGGGAGGGAGATGTATTTAGGTTTAAAACCACATCATGTCTGGTATAATAGGCTGAGGCCACACTTCAGTTATGGTTTCAGCATGTCAGTGGTGGGATTCAATTTTTTTTACTACTGGTTCTGTGGGCATGGCAGGGGAAGGATACTGTAAAATCTCCAGTCAGAGGTGGCATTTGCCGGTTCTCCAAACTACTCAAAATTTCTGCTATCAATTCTACAGAACTGGTCAGAACCTGCTAAATACCACCTCTGCAGCATGTTTTAAAGTATGTTATGAGAGTTGAAAGGGTCACCTTAAGCATTTGTAAGGTTAAAAGCATCCTTATTGCAGATCTCTAAAAGACAAAAAGAGTTCCAGATTTGGCAGGTGCGTATATATCCATAAACCACAAATGAAATGTTGGTGGGCCACTTCCCAGAATCCATAATTTTGGTACCCTTGGCGTAGAATTTTCAGATACTTGCCCTGGTCTCTTTGAGAGATAAAAGCAAACTTAATGATGAACAGGATGCATTCAGTGCTTCCTAAGCCACAAAAGGCACTCCAAAAAGTCCAAAATGTCATATAACCTTTCAAAATTGCAGAGGAAGTCACGATGGCTGGTGTCACCTTACTTACCAGATGAAGCCATCTTCCTAACTTTGAATTGTAGTTTGTTCATTTGGAAAATATCTTCTTCTTGTGCCCTATCCATCATCGGATGTTGGCAATCCTATTTTTATCAACAGCCGCACGAAAAAGGGCTGTTGAGTTTTGTCCAAACCGGTCCCTTAGATTTTTTTTAAAAAATTTCCAACATTGTTTTATTCAATTTATCTCTTTTTAAATAATATTTAGTCATTAGAATTCATATCTGAATTATTTTTAGTATTTAGAATTAAGATTTCTAGAATGTTGTACACATTTACCTATCTAGAATGTGAAATTATAAAGCAGAAGCAAAAAAGAACCTGAAAAGAAAGGAAAACGCAAGCCAGAGATTCAGCAGAGAGAAAAACTCTAATAAGACAAGGGTGCAATCCCTTCTAGGCAACCAAAGATAAAGGATAAGCTTAAGGATACTGCATATATGTCTCCCTCTCCTTCTAAACTCCATTAATACTTTTTATTTTCCATTAGATTGGGCAATAGATGATGGTTTTCCCCTGAAGGTGAGGTTTTAATTGGAGACAGAGGAAAGATGTTGTCTATGCTAGGAATAACTTAATGGAAATTGGCATTTGGTTGTTAAGAATCGCCTTTTAACAGCTCAAACAGTCATTGTTATATTTGATCAGCTTCTTTTTTTAAAAAAAAATACTTTTTAATTTTAATTATGAGAATACAACACAATACGTCCAACTTAACTTTGTTATACATATGTACATTTTACTTCATCATTTGTAATCTTATTTAATATATTAATTACTAATTAATCTAAGCATAACTATTAATATTTCTACCTTGTCCCTTAGATTTTGAAGCCATGATATTCTTCTGCCTGGACCTCATTTGCCTTCAATCTTTCCTTGGAGGATTAAGTGAAGTAGGCCGTATTTTTCTAAATGTCGCATCACAGGTCTGAAATATTCTACCTTTCGCTTTTTTATGGTTTGATGATTTCCCTTGGCTTTTCCAGGAGGCTTATCACCTCCTCATTCCTGATTTTGCCAACCCAGCAGCCACCTATAAATCCACATTTCAAACACTTCTAATCTCTTCAAGTGGCATTCTGTCAGAGACCAACTCTCCACTCCGTAGAGCAGGATAGAAAAGATGTAGCATCTGATAAGCCTGGTTTTCAATCTTAGGCAATCTTATGTCATGACTGCAGAAGACCTTTCTGTTCAAGCTTTCTCTATCTTGTTTTTACTTCAGTAGTCATGGAAAATATGGTAAAATGCAATTAGGGTTCTTGAATCTTGACAATACCATGGACAATGAAGAAAGCAAAGACATGCGCCGACAAATCAATCAATCCTGTGTTCTTGCTTGAAGCACCAATGACCAGCCTTATCCTATTTTGGACACATTGTGCAAAGGTCATCCCTCTGCAGAAAGCTCTAATGTTGAGAAAGATGGAAGGAAAGAGAAGAAGAGGATAATCAGACAGAAGATGGATAGACTCCATAACAGAAGTGATGGGGGCACCATTGGAATATTTGAAGGACCAAGTTAGAGACAGATTGCTATGGAGAAAATCTATGTCATCACTAAGAATAGACAATGTTTTGATGGCATGAAATCAAGATCAGGAAATTAAGAAATAAAAGGCATTATTTTGATTTAAAAACAGGGGATAACCAGGTTTTTCTTGGAAGGGAGGGAAGCATGTCCTTTGAACAAGTAGTTCTTAATGGGTCTAAGTCTACATGGAGGGAAGGAAGCAGTGGGGTACCACAAGGTTCCATCTTAGGCCCAGTACTCTTCAATATCTTCATTAACGACTTAGATGAGGGAATAGAAAGGGAACTTACCAAATTTGCAGATGATACTAAGCTGGCAAGAATAGCTCACACCTAAGAAGATAGGCTCAAGATCCAGATGGATCTTGACAGACTAGCACACTGGGCTGTATCTAACAAAATGAAATTCAATGTAGAGAAAAGTAAAGTCCTACACTTAGGCAAGAAAAAACAAAAGGATACATATAGACTGGGTGAAACCAGACTCAATAGCAGTAACTGTGAGAGTGATTTTGGAGTCTTAGTGGACAACCAGCTAAATATGAGCCAGCAGTGTGCAGCAGCAGCCAAAAAAGCTAATGCAATCCTAAATTGTATTAACAGAGGGATATAATCAAGATCAAGGGAAGTACTAATACCACCCTATAAAGCCTTAGTAAGACCACACCTAGAGTACTGCATCCAGTTTTGTTCACCACATTATAAAAAAGATGTTGAGACTCTAGAAAAAGTGCAGAGAAGAGCAACCAAGATGATTAGGGGACTGGAGGCTAAAATATATGAAGAACGGTTGTAGGAACTGGGCATGGATAGTCTAGTGAAGAGAAGGACCAGGGGAGAAATGATAGCAGTCTTCCAATATTTGAGGGGCTGCCACAGAGAGGAAGGGGTCAAGCTATTTTCTAAAGCACCCAAAGGCCAGACAAGGATTAATGGATGGAAACTGAACAAGGAGAGATTTAACCTGGAAATAAGAATAAACTTTCTGACAGTGAGAACAATCAACCAATGGAACAGCTTGCCCTTGGAAGTTGTGGGAGCACCATCAGTTGAGACTTTCAAGAAGAGATTGGAATGTCATTTGTCAGAAATGGTGTAGGGTCTCCTGCTTGGGCAGGGGGTTGGACTAGATGATCTACAAAGTCCCTTCCAACTCTGATTATCTGTTATCAATTGTCTGAAATATTCTTGGCTATCGGGCAGCCATTTATGTGGGAATTATCAGATACTATTTTCAACTATTATTTATTTTCAACAATTATTCTCTGTCATTTTTTAAAAAACCCTTCCACCTGAAAAAACCTACAACAAAAAAAGACATGATTAGTTCTAATCCTTCAATAGCATTTTAAACATACAATATAGGTTTCCAAGGGCATAAAAAAAGAACATAATCTTCATCATATGATGCACACATAGACAGTTTTTATTTTGCTTTACCTCTGAAAAATATATCAAATGCTACTGACCTTTCACCATGATTCATCAGAAGGCTAAGTTTTCATCTGATGTATCTAATCATTTTCAGTAAGGTGACATCTGCTGAAAGTTGTCAACAAATAAACAGGTTATTAGATTGTCTGAATCTATCAG